CTTTCATGCAAAGTTTGGCATTGATTTGATGAACTTCGGTTTACTTTTAGTATGATAAAACCAAACAAAAGTGCAGGTCTTGATGGTGTAAGCCCAAGGGTTGTTAAAAAAGTTTTTAATATTGTTGAATATCCTTTACTTATTATTTTTAATCTTTCATTTAAAAATGGACTTTTCATTTATTCAAAGCTATATTAGTTATTATCACATTGCCTGGGCAAGTACTTATCCGTCAAGACTAAGGTGTATCTTAAAAAAACAAAAATAAACAAGCCGCTCTATATTAAATGCTAATAAATACATCAGTACTAATTCATTGCTTAGTTAGCTTGGAGTGTTAAATGTTTACCGATTAGCTTGGAGTGCTAAATGCTTACTAATTAGCTTGGAGTGCTAAATGTTTACCAATTAAACATAAAGAAGTTTACTTTATTATAGATCATAAATATTAAAAAGAGCATTTGTTGCTTAATTATCAGGTCCAAAAATTTTGTTAAATTAATCTAAATACTCAATATTTTACCGATGGTCATATTTGTGAAACTCATTTCTCCCAAATAATAGTAAAACTATAATTTCAATTCAAACTTTTGAAAGTATTCTAAAAAAACAGTTACTTGATTATGGCTTATCTCAAATTTTTTTTTATTTTTAGCTTTTATTTTATTCTCTTTTATTTTTCAACTTTTCCTTTAATTGAAAAGCGACATCAGCTTTTATATCATTACTTATCTTTAAATTTTATTTATTTTAAGTTGTATTGTACTCAAAAAAAAAAAAGTAACTTGTTTTAATTTAAATGTATTTAATATTATTTTACTGATATTGTAATAATTTTTTTATATGATAGCTTACTTTTTGTTTAAATTGTAAATGATACAACGGGGCTAGACAGGGCCTTTGAGAGGGAGAGTCAAAGAGGGCAAATTGACCGTGCGTCAAACTTGAAGGGGCGCCTGGCAACCGCTTAGTTTTTGTTTTTTTTACAATAAGTAGAAAACATTTTAATTACTCAAGGCCATCGACACGGTTTTTGAAATGGGGGATGGGGGGGATACAACAATTAAGTTGTGAAAAAAAACCTCTATATCACGGCTTTTCTTTAAATAAAAAAAAGTATTATATATTTTTTTAATGTTAATAGTTACAGGTTAAATTAGTTGGTTGATATTTTAAAAAAGATTTAAAAAATTATTGATATATTTTTAACATTGGTATCGTGTTTGCCTCAGAGGCAAGAGATCGGCGGTTCAAATGCATCTGTGACATTAAACCCATCTCCGGTTTTCTATTTCTAATCAATAGCTATCTATTTCTAACCGATCTCTTAAGAGATCGTATAGAAATAGTCCGTTAAAAAAGACGTATTTTAATATATTAGAACAAATTCACTGGAAATAAAAATATGGCAATAAAATAGTTTTAAAACAAAAGAAAATAAATAAACAAGAATTAGTGACTGTTGCGAACATTTCAAAGCCAAAACCTTAAATAAAATACAACTAATTTATGCTCTTTTATCAAATTATTCTACAAAAAAAAAGTGCATTTTTTGATTAAAATTCCGATATGTATAAATGCGGAAATATGATATTGAAACTTTTGTTTATAAACTAATTATAAATTACAAAGTATTTTAGGTTCTTTTTTTTTTTTTTTTTTTAACATATTTATTTCACAACTACAAAGTATTTACAATTGACTAATCATCGATTGGCGAATTAAGATATACAAATATAAATAACGTAAACATAAAGTCCAAAATAAATAAGGGATAAATCTAAAATATTGTTACATTCAACTTTGAGACATGATAAAAATAAATACAAAGTACACAATAGAATAACGTGAACGTAAAAATTACCCAAGAAATAAACCTTCTATATTCTTTCAATCAGAATAAAGTATATATATATATATATATATATATATATATATATATATATATATATATATATATATATATATATATATATATAAAAGTATGATAAAAACAAGATTTGTATAAGATTGAAGAAAATAATTAACTGTTTGTAGTTATAGGAAGCTCGCAGAAGACTGGCGTCAGTCTTGTCATCGAGTACCTTCTAGACGTGTAATACACATAAAAATCAGTTGCATACGGGGCAAATATGTATGTGATACATATATGCCTTAAAATTAATAATGTTGCTATCTCCTTTTAGTATTATTTTTATTGATTCCTTTGAAAAGTTACATTTTTTGTTTTATTAGGGTTGTTTTATATTATTTTTAATTTTTAAATTTCAAATTGGAGTTTAAAAAAACTCCTTGTTGTTGTTTAACTTGATTATTGTAGATTTTAACTTTGTTTTTAGGGACTGTTCGTTGTTTAAATTTATTAGCGATTCGTTTCTAGAAATTATTTTGTTAAATAAATAGGGACCACGATGTTTTATTGAAAACTTTGAGAGTTTAGTTTTTTCAAATGGTATCTTAAAGTTTCCCGTTGCTCTTGTATTGTATTTGTTTACGTTGTTTTCAAAAAAGTGGGCTGTAAAATGTTCTGGAACCAGACTTAGTTTATATTTAAACATGAAAAGTATATTTTGATAAATATTAATTTTAAAAATATTTAAAGCGTTCATTTGCTCCAGTAGGGGTTGAGCATGAGTAAGTTTGTTTTTGTTGAACACTAGTCTTGAAGCGTGATAAAGCGGATAAAGCAGTTTTAATTTAGTTATGTGGATACTGCCCCATGCTATATTAGCATACATAAGATAGCTATGTATAAATAAAAAATAAACGAGTATTAGACTTTTTTGTGTCAAGAAAGATCTTGCTTTATAAAGTAGGTTCTAAAAAATGGGTCAAAAAAAAATCAACAAAAAATAGACAAAATTTAGAGGATGTGGGATTTACAACCATAACGCAGACCAAAAGAAATGTCTATTCTTTAAGTGTTCAGAGAATAGAGCTCTTCAGTTTTTTAACTGGTAAAGTATATTAACAGAATAAAGCTCTTCAGTAATTTAACTGTTTTTTGTATCATAATTTTTTTCTTCTAACAACCTCTGATATTATAATCTTTGTTGTTATTACTAAATTTTTTCAAATAAATCCCTAAAATAAAAGCCATGACTTCCAGTCAGTTTATGAGACCCAATATGGAACCAATGAATTAAGATAACCCAATATATGTGAGCACTCAATATGTGTGATTTGAAGAACTGTAAACTACCTAAAGCTGAGATTTTAAAATGACTCATCAGAGAAAGAGGAACTTTATCCATCAGGGAAAAATGTGATGCTCAACTCATCAGGGAAAAATGTGATGCTCAACTCATCAGGGAAAAATGTGATGCTTAACTCATCAGGGAAAAATGTGATGCTCAACTCATCAGGGAAAAATGTGATGCTCAACTCATCAGGGAAAAATGTGATGCTCAACTCATCAGGGAAAAATGTGATGCTCAACTCATCAGGGAAAAATGTGATGCTCAACTCATCAGGGAAAAATGTGATGCTCAACTCATCAGGGAAAAATGTGATGCTCAACTCATCAGGGAAAAATGTGATGCTCAACTTATCAGGGAAAAATGTGATGCTCAACTCATCAGGGAAAAATGTGATGCTCAACTCATCAGGGAAAAATGTGATGCTCAACTCATCAGGGAAAAATGTGATGCTCAACTCATCAGGGAAAAATGTGATGCTCAACTCATCAGGGAAAAATGTGATGCTCAACTCATCAGGGAAAAATGTGATGCTCAACTCATCAGGGAAAAATGTGATGCTCAACTCATCAGGGAAAAATGTGATGCTCAACTCATCAGGGAAAAATGTGATGCTCAACTCATCAGGGAAAAATGTGATGCTCAACTCATCAGGGAAAAATGTGATGCTCAACTCATCAGGGAAAAATGTGATGCTCAACTCATCAGGGAAAAATGTGATGCTCAACTCATCAGGGAAAAATGTGATGCTCAACTCATCAGGGAAAAATGTGATGCTCAACTCATCAGGGAAAAATGTGATGCTCAACTCATCAGGGAAAAATGTGATGCTCAACTCATCAGGGAAAAATGTGATGCTCAACCTAATTTTATCTTTGTTTAATAAAGAAAAAGTAGAAAAAGATATTTTGGTTGGAGCTCAACCATCAAAGCATCGTTTGGGAATGAAATCAGTATTCAAATGCGGGGAATCTTCCCTTCTTTGTTGGAACGGAGGAGCTAGGGATCAATAAGGAAACTCATTGATTGTGTGAAGTAGCATCAATCCTGCTCTTTACACCAAAAGTCTTACCAGTACCACTGGTTAAGATACAGAGCTCCGGAAGCGAATTATTTACAGCTGAATGACAATCCTTCGTGTAATTTTGAATTAGCATCTTTTCTTGGCTTCTAAAAGTTGAGCTTTTCTAGGTAACTTAACATAAAGGTTTCTTGATATCAATTTTAATTATTTTAATAATTCTTATAATAACTTAACTATAATTGATATATGCAATTATGTTTGCACGTGAAACAACACACGTGACTGGGAAAGAAAATGGAAACTTTCTTGTCGGTACGGAGCTTATTGGTAGCTACAATCCCGTCAATGCATCCCACTCGGAAAATGTAAGATTTCATCAACAAGAGGGCTCCAAAATAATGGTCTTTTCCCGCGTTTTGCAAACGTTTTTTAATGGTTTCGTAAAAACGTTTTTTAATGGGTTTTTAAACGTCCATATGAAAGGTGAACGAACGTTATTTTAAAAATGTTTTGTGAACGTTTTTTAATGGACCTGCAAAAACGTTTTTTATTGGTTTTTTGAACGTCCGTATGAAGCGGTGAACGGACGTTTTTCTGAAAACGTTATTTATTGTTTTTTTGCGTCTAAATGAAACGTTTTGTCGTTTTTAACATTTTTCTAACAACCTTTTTTTTTAGTATAAGTTATTTAAGTAAATAACTTGTTGTACAGAAAAAAAACCTTTTCACAAATGGAAAACCTAAGTCTAACAGTCTAGATCCGGATAAATAACTAAAAGTTTTAACATTTTGTGTTTATTTACAATTTAAGCATACAAAAACATAATAGTTTTTTTTGCTATTCTATTAAGCTATTTATTCTATTATTTCTCTTCAAACAATTGCCTTTTAACTTATCGACCAAATAGAATTTTGCTGTATGTGACACTAATGTTCCTAAAAAATAAAAATACCATAGAAATTTTTTATGCATTTCACTTGCATGTAAAAGAAAATGCATCAAAATGTAAATTATAAAAACTAGAAATGAGTAATGGAAAATATCACACATTATATTAAAGGAACAATATAAAAATTTAAAAAGTACCTATAATTACTCTACTCAATAAAGTTTTTTCAAATTGATCTATTTCTATAAGTTCCAGCTTTCTTAAACAATGGCAGAACAAATTTTGAGATTATTTAATCCAAAACATTATTAGCAGAGCTGAAAATGACCTTAAAAAATCATAGATAATCATTTAATTTGAACTCATTTACTTTATTTAGGAAAATTTTATACATAAATGTAAACAAGAATATAACAACAAATAAGACTTTGCTTTATTATTTAAAATTATTTCACTTTCATCAAACCTTGTTATATCATTTATTTTGTCATAATAAAATTATGAATCTTCAAACTCAGTCTTTTCCCCCAGGATATCCACTGCAGATAAAGACTTTATAAAACTTTAGGCATTATAGTTCCATATATATTGCAGATTAAAACCTATTAGAAAAAAAATTTCGAACCAAGTAAAATATTAACAAAAAACTGTAGTGGAAAACTGAAAATTAAATTAAATAAACATCTTTTAAAAAAGGAAAAGACAACATTTAATAAAGCACTTGTTCCACTAATAGACTCAAAACTTGATGGCAGTTTATCATAACAATAAAATGCAGCAATCCATCGCTGAAATTTTTTTTTTAACTTGTTCAAGAAATGCTTCATGTATTATTTATAATCTATTATTATGTATAATGTATTATTTAGCAACTTGTTAAAAATACATTCACATTTTTGAATATTTCGAAAAACATTTATCTGGTTTTATTTAGCATAAAATGTTGAATAAAAACAGATGAACTTACATTTAGTAAACTTTTGCACTTTAATATCAGAACTTGCTTCTCTAATGTGCAAACAATATTAATTTTTCACTTATTGTTCTAAAATTGATAATAATAAAAAATAAATAAATTACACACTTTAATCTTATATATAAACTAACATTAAAGTATTTAGTATGTTTGTCTTCCGGTTAGGCCAAAAAAAATCATGGCTCAAAGTTATTTCTACTACAAGTTATTTCTACCAAAGGTTCTACTTGTAAAAATAACGTAGAGCAATTGCTAACTGGATTAGAAATAATCTAGATAGAAATAGCTTTATACCTTTATTAAAAGATTTACTTATGAAATGAATGTAATATAAACTTACTTTGTGTTTCTTGTGATTGTGATCATTTTATTGTAACTATACTTGCATCTTTGTTACTCAAATTAAGAATGGTAGTTTAACTATTTTCAGTATATATATAAAATAATTTTACATACATAAAAAAATGACTATAAATAAACACACATACACACACATACACAGATATATATATATATATATATATATATATATATATATATATATATATATATATATATATATATATATATATATATGTATATATATATATATACATATATATATATATATATATATATATATATATATATATATATATATATATATATATATATATATGTATATATATGTATATATATACATATATATATGTATATATATATATATATGTATATATATATACATATATATATATATATATATATATATATATATATATATATATGTATATATATATATATATATATATGTATATATATATATATATATATATATAAAAATATACATATATATATATATATATATATATATATATATATATATATATATATATATATATATATATATATATATATATATATATATATATATATATATATATATATATATATATATATATATATATATATATATATATATATATATATATATATATAATATTTATAAAAGACCAAATATCTTAGCAAGAGTTATCATAGTTCTAATAAATGTATATTTTACTTTTAAGAAGTTTCTTTTCAGTTGTATGAATTCGTAGATGTAGATCTTGAAAATACGCCATATATAAGTAAAGTTGCACATGCGCATTGCCCGTTTTTGGCTTGGCAAAAAACGTTTTCTAAACGTTTATTAAAGGTCCCGCTAAATACTAAATTAAATTTCAGGAGAAAATCAATTAGAACGTTTTTTAAACGTTTTACTTAGACAAACGTCCTTCAAGCGACCATAGAACGTTTACAAAACGTACTTGTGCCCACTGGGTTACCTCTTTTCGTCGTCCCAAAGCGTGTTCATTAGAGAATGTGGTAGTGTCATCCGAAATGCAGTTGACGAAGAAATTAAGGATGGTATCTACTTCACCATCATCCCCAATACATTTCAAACTGAGCAGGTAACCTTTGTTATTTGTTTTCTCATTTCTGAAAGAGAAATTATTCGTGAGTAATCAAAAAACGGTTCTTGTGTGTTAAAGCTATCAGGAAAAAGAAAGGAGTCAATATAATCAAGCTTATCACTTATGTGATTGCAAGACTAGATTTGGATATTCGAAACTGTCGCGGTTAAGTATGCAATAATTGAACCAATATGTCAAGTGCTTTCAAGGAAGCCCAAATCTTAATAAGTCAAAATTATTCAGAGGCTTCCTACGCTCCTTGTAGATTCTTTGAAAATGTCGAATTTTTTTACGTAACTTTTAGTGTAAGTCTTGTCTGATGGAAGATCCTTACTAAAACATCAGGAATTTTACTGCAAAAACTTTCTATGACAAGTTGGAGCTTTTGTTCCAATGCAATCTAACCACTTGCCAAAATGCCAGGGGAAATGTTGGCTGCTCTTAAAAATGCAATGGAAAACATGGACCTGACCAATGAGCAATTAAGCTAAACAAGAGCTTTAAAAAAAATGATTATCATCTTTTAAATTTGTATTACTAAATACAATTTGGTAGAAAACTTATAATGCTGTTAACGACGTTATTTGTCTTCTACAATCTAAAACCATTACCATTAATGACGAGTTACGTTTAATTGGAAAAGTTGCTAGAAGAAAAATAAAAAATCTTAAGCGGGTTACTCTTTTTAGTTTTCCGAAAGGCTGTAGCTGTAGGACAGGACCGCTAGGATTTAAAACTGAACTCGTTACTAAAAGAAAGCGTAAATTAAAACGCTGTCACGATGACGTTTTTAATTTTAGTTTATTATATATTTTGTCTGATCCATTAGATTGAATCAGTATTTGAGACAAACAGAATGCTTGGAAATATGTTTTGATTCATCTGGTTGGATAATAATGATCTTTCCGTTCAAAATAAAACTTACAAATTTGCGCGATTTTATCCAAGAGATGTGAACAAAGATCATGTCATTAAAGAAGTCAGTCTTTTTAACAATGTTTGTGAAATAATATTCAAGCACGGAAATCCATTGCGGCTACTCAATCAAATCTTTGAGAAGAAACTTGAACGCCGTTTTCCGTACACTTGCATCATGCTCCGGAAATTCAAAACTATTCCTGTGTCAGTTGCTGAGGGTTAATGATCGTTTACTAAAGATTGTAAAAAATTATCTCCATTCAACCGTGGGCCAGGATCACAATACCAATTTTTTGATTATTTTGATTGAAGAAGATTTGTCTTAAAAGGTGAACTACGAAATCAATATTTAGGCGGCTAGAAAAGCTCAAAAGTTCATTTTTAGGCGCCTTTCTGGAAGATTTTATTGATTTAATTTATTGGTTTTAAAACTAATATTTTGATTCATATATCAACTTTAATTAATGAACCGATTTTCAATTCAAAGAATAAATCATAACGCAGAAATACAATGTGCTGCATCAAAAATAGATATCTTCTGCGTTCACAAGGCTTTAAAATTTAAAATTTCTTGTTTTGAAATAAGGGGTGCCGTTTTTCATTTTGCACCCGGGCGTCATAGGAGCTCTTAAAGGCTGTGGGGCTGGATGATTAGACTTTGATCTTTTTCCTGCTCTCGTTAAATTTTTCATCTTTCTCCTGCTGCCGTCGAACAAAAAAAAAAAGGTTGTAAATAATTTATTATGATAACGAAATATATAAAAAAAAATAATAATAATAATAATATGATGATTTTATGATTCCGCAATTAATATAGACCAATTTTCTTGGAAAATTTCTCCATTACTATTGTTTATTAACTGTCTCGTAAAATCAAATACTTAGCATTAAGTTTTTTAAAACTTTTTTGGTTGGATGTTGTAAAAATTAGTACATTTTTATTATAATCATTTATAATTTTTTCCTCTCAAGCGTTATACGGTTGTTAGTTTTTAATGTTTTTGATAACAGTTACATACTATTTATATTGCATTAATCATGAATTATAATTTTCTCATTCAATAAAAAAAAAAACATGATTACAGTTAACTCACAATTACATCTATCTACGAGTATTATATTATGTTACTTATTAAAGATATTATTTTGTATTATATTTATAGTTAAATCCAAAAGATATTAGTTAATTAAAATAGAGTATTGAATGCCAAGATTTCAATGAAAAGGATATGAGAAACTAACAAACGCATAGATGACATTAAAAAATTTTACAATGAAAAAACACTTCTTGATTTGAATAATGAATCAAATATTTTAAAAGATATTTAAAAAAATTAATAGATCTCAAAAAACTGAAGATCAATCCTGAAGAAATAATTTGCAAATTGATGGTGTTAAAGAACCAGGGCCGACAACACGGGTTTTGTAGTGAGGGGGAGGGGGGTGGGGGGGGGAGATTGTACAAAAATTGTTAAAAACATATTCACTGAAAAACTCCAAATTAATAAAGAAATTATAATTAAAAGAGTGCACAGATCAATAAAAACAGGAAAAGAGCGATCACATACATTTTTTTGATATTTTATCTTCAACTACACCTATGTGTTCCCTCCAGGTTACATTTTCGTCTAGAAACACGCTTTATTGATTGCTCTCTCTTTATTAATTGATTGTCAATAAAAAGGTCTGGGAGTTCTAAGGGAATATCTGATTTTTTATGTAGGCGATGAAATAAAGTGTATTTTGTTTTAGTAATATTTAAAGAAAACTTGTTTGATTTAAACCATTGGCTTAGTTTGTCTAGTTCTTTGTTTAATGTTTGGAATAATATATTGATATCTTTATTGGAATAAAACAAGCTGGTATCATCTGCAAATAAAATTGCATTTAAAATGTTAGAAAATTTATTTAAATCGTTTATATAAACAAGAAATAGAAGTGGCTCTAAAATTGATCCTTGAGGAACACCACATTTAATTGTCTCATAATTAGTTTTTCCTTCACCATAAACTATATACTGCTTCCTATTGGTCAAAATTTGTTAAAATTGGCATTAAACTATCTAAATTAATTCCTAACGCTGAAGCCTCATTTAAAGATTTCTTAGTACCGATGGATGAAGGAGTAACTATTTGATGATTTCAAAAAAGCCTTTAAAACACTAAAAATAAAAAATAAAACAGTTGGACTGGATGAAATCAATGGTAATATAATTTTAGATTGCTTTGAACAAATAAAATATATTCTTTTTAAAGTCTTTAAATCATCAATCGAACAAGAAGCCTTTCCTGATCAATTGAAAATTGCTAAAGTTATTGCACTATTCAAATGGTGACAAATCTGACATTAGTTATTACCGGCCTCTCTCTATCTTATCTATATTTTCAAAAATACAAGAAAGAATCATGTTCAATAGAGTATTTAGTTATTCTAATTTAAATAATTTAACAACAATCAGTTTG